GAAGACGTTATGGATGTAATATGTGTAGGTCAAACTTTCTCAACTTTGACTAGGTTTGAAGAAACATTTATATTAATTATTATGAAAGTATATTCAATGATCTATCTAATAATATTAATTATTTATTATAAATATTAATGTTCTTTATATATAATTGATCAAAGTTAAAAAAAAAATTGACTTATCGAGAAGTGAGAACATATTCTATTTTGAGACAAATGGAGTAATATACTTGTTTAATTTGATCACTGTCTAATGGGTAATACTCCTATTCTAAATCTACCGTTATTAATAGCCATTATTATTATCATCATGTTTACTTGATCATATCAACCATGCTTATCAATCATAATACAGTGTTTTTTTTCTCACAATAAAACAGTTATAGCCGGCTTTTAAGTCACGTAAACGATCAAAGGAACCGGGTGTTAGCTACCATATCTGCTCCCTCGTGAAGTGAAGACGCCCTGAATGCTCGACAGCTGGGGACGCAAGAGCTGGTGGTTTACGCTTACGCAACTGACTCACAGGAATTTGCAGTTTTGCACCGTCCGGCCCGGATGCTTTCTGCCTGCCTGCCTGGCCTCTGCTGCATCTGCCTGCCAAATTAAAGGATGCATGGCAAATATTTGTAGTGCAGTGATACAGCGGTACAGAGTACATGACAAATGACGCTTAGGCTTGTTTAGTTACTCCTTAAAAGTTTACACCTTATCCCATCAAATATTTGATATATGCATAGAATATTAAATATAGATTAAAAAATAACTAATTACACACACTACGACTACTTTGCGAGACGAATCTTTTAAGCCTAACTAGGCCATGATTTGACAATGTGGGGCAACAGTAGTACATGTGCTAATAACGAATTAATTAGACTTAATAAATTTATCTGGCGGATTCTATAATTTGTTTTTTTATTAGTATCCAAATACCCTATATAATATCTTATGTGACACCCTAAAAATTTTACGGATTTAAACAGGACTTAGTTCAAATCCGCTTAAATCCCCTGACAAATCATCATGAGGCCACGTTCTGAGCCAGTTTACTGCCGCCACGACTGGCTTTTTTTTCGACAAAGAAAAAGGAAATCTACTCCGTTGACTTACTGGCTCAGGTCAGCCAAATACAGAGTCACAGACAAAAAAGAAACCAAAGAGAGAGCCACGATAAAGATAAATTGGTAGAACCACAAACAGCCCGTGGTTAATTCAGCCCACCCAGTAACTCCGAGTAACCTAGGCCTAGACAAAGCTTATGGGGCCATCGAAAGGCCTTCATGGGGTTGGGCCATAAAAAAAGGCTAAGACCCTGTTTTCCTGGATTTTGTAAAGATGCCATGGTATTGAGAAAAGTGTAGTTGTAATACTCATAGACATGCAAAACTATGATTTGGGGGGAAAAGTCCAGTGTTTACAACTCATCAAAAGACTATAATTATAACAATACTATGGTTTTAAGAACTATAAAGTTTGTTTTTAGGCACTTCAAAGGACTCTAAGACCAGGGAATTTTACAAAACCAAAGATATTCTTATGTGCATGCATGTACAAGTGTCTGGTCCGTACTATGATTTAAAAAAAACTCTAAAAAAAACTTCCTTACTCCCTCTGTACAAGAAAAATTGCGATTCTAGGACCGGGCTCGGAAACCAGGTAGTTGGCAAATGATGAAAATGCCTCTGTAGTCTGAAACGATCTTGTGCTGGAGTATTGTGGAATGGAATGAGTGGACAAAAGAAGGTGCAGCCTTGGGGTTGGTTTTTTCAGGTGCCTCTTTTTTTCAGCCTGTTCGGAAGACCGTATCGTATCGTGGATTATTTACTATTGGCTGATTTGATGTGAGAGAAAAACACTGTTCCCGGCTAGAAATTTACGATCCAACATGCTGTGGATCACTCTTCTTGAGAACTGTCCCACGATTTGACAGCCTAGCCTGCGCACATGGTCCCTTTAACTGACACCCTAGCCTGTGCACTGCATGAGCATTTTTAGCGGGACAAATTTTGAACCGCGATTGCAGTTTTTTTTTTTTTGACAGTATACTCCCTCCGTTCCAAAAGTAATGTATCTACAAATACAAAAAGCAAAACGTCTTTTAATTTGAAATGCGGAGAGATTTTTTTAGAACAAAAATGTGAATGATAATTATGTTGGGATGTTGTTTCTTTATTTCCTAATATATAAAATGATAATAATGAATTTAGATCTAAAACACTGAAAATAAAGGAATCATCCATCCGATTTAACCTTGGCTAAAAAGAATGAGGTTTTCGATACCGTTCGTCTTGACAGAGTTTAGATACTAAATGGATAAACTATATTAAAATCCAGACACTCAATATTTATATTGTGTATGAATATGAATACTCAAAGTTGAATATGAATATTAATACTCAAAGTTGAATATCCGACAAATCCATCCATCATTATCTTTAGCTGAGAAAAAAAACTAACGCCATATTCTTATCCATATCTCCCTGCTTGCCTTCCTACTGAATAGCAAGTAATCGCTGCAGAGGTACAACTCGATCAAAGTGGGCAATAGCCCTCCCCTTGCTGAAGCCTAGGAATCCTATGTCTACAACACATCACATGTGTTCCCTACTTTTGTTCCTCGGTTCTCGCTTCTTACCGCCATGCACCAAGCCCTTTCTATATTTTTTTCTCCAGTTTTCAAACTCTTGAGGACTAATCAGCAAGGCTAGAGGCTACGCGAGATATGTCTATTTGAATGGTAATTTGTACTCAATCCAGACTAGTTGATATTTCTTTATACTTTCGAGGTCCTAATAAGCCCTAATTTCACAGTCATATGATTGGCAATTTCTTGATTAGTGCCTAATTGCACATTTTCTCTAGCATTTGGTTACATGTTGATATCCATAAGCAAATCCCTCCGCCCCCTCTCTCCCTAAGAATTGCTCCCAGCTCCACCACTACAAGCAATGAGGGCTTGTTTGGTTTAGATCCTTAGGGCACCCGCAATAGTAAGAGTCAGTTACTAGCTTTAAGCTAACTTTTTCAATAGTGCTAGTTTTTAGCAATGTCTTATAGTATAATTAGGCCCACATAACACTCTCACATGTTCTTAGATTGTGTCTATGAGCTTAGCTCTTGGTCAAAAGCTAGCTTTTCTCTCTTCTATTAAAATATAAAAAAAATGTTCAGAACTAGCGTATGAGTCACACATTGCAGGTGCCCTTAGAGTGTTACTTTTTTTTGGTGGATGGGGGGGGTGGTTAAAGAATGTTACTTGGTCAGACGACAATCTCAGACGTATATAGCAGTGTTCAGCTGGTATGAAATTTTCATTGTTCATGCTGGCATGTTGTGAGAGAAAAACACTCCTCCGGCTGAAAAAAAAAAAGCGAACAAGCTGGCTGATTCGATGGAACTGTGTGGGCCAGACAACTTTTCCAAACATGCCCTGAACTACTGGGCCGCTGCATTTTTCTATCATGGAAAAGAAAAGAAAAAAAGGACGAGGCCCGGCTGCCCTCCGGACTCCAGTCTAGACCCGGAGCCCCCGGGCCGGGCCGCACCACCACCGAGCCTTTTCCACCTTTTCCACAGCAGCGGCAAACAAAGAGAGGAAAAAAAACCGACAGGGGGAGAAGAAACGAAATGACAAACGAAATCCCTTGAAAACCCCTCACTCATCCCCATCCGCCGCCGCTGCCCTCCCACGGTCCCACCACGCGCGCGGCCGGCGAGCGACAGAGAGACCAGGCGGGCGGCCACCGGCGGGGAGCAGCACTGCGCGATCCTCACCGACGCCTCCACCTCCGTGGGTACTAGCCTACTCCTCCTCTTCCTCGCCGTCGTCCTCGTCGTCCCCTCCCCTCGCGGAAACCATCGGTTGACGGGTGCTCGCCTGGCCTCGCTTCCCCCAGCCTCCCCGTCGCTGCGATCGGGAATCGGAATCCCTCCGTCTAGTCATGCCCGTTAGCCTCCTTTGCGTCTTTCCGTCCAGCCTTCCGTGGCTGGCTGGGTCACAGGGTTAGGCTCTCCTTCGTTCTTCCCCGTGCGAAATCACCCTCTGCCTGGGTTTCCGCGTACGGTTTGTGTTTTGTCTGCAAAGTCCTGGGTTTCAACGGGACAGCCCCGTTAGGCGTGTCCCTGGCCAAGTCCGCGCCTGCTATGGTTGTTTACATTGGGATCATTCTTCAATATAGCTGTACTGTTTTTTCCAGCAGGAGTTTTACCTTTTTTTTTTTCTTTCTGTCAGCCCCTTCAAGTTAGTACCCTGAGTTTCAGCTTCAGATTGTGTTATCGAATGCATCATCTGCCCATGCCTTGACTGATACCTTGTGATGGTTGTTTCATCAATATGTTAATCTTCTCTTAGGTTTTTTTCTCTCCATTACATCAACATGTTAATCTTGACAACTTCATTGTACTTGTACTATTCAAGTTTGGTGAATTGATAATGTATGCTAATTTATGTTGAAGTCTGGGAACTAGTCTTACTCGATCTTAGTTCCTTGTGTATGCCATATTTGTGAGTTGATAGTTTTAGCAACTCAATTCGGATAGAAATAGGTTTATATGTGCAAAATATTTACATAGCAGTTTATAGTACTCAGTTCATATGTGTCACTCATCATTACATCTGCAACGCGAAATCCATGTGTTCCTGGAGCACTTGCATAACAAAAGATCTATCTTTGCTTCATTTCTTCTGTTATTGCTGAATCTAAAAAAAACACTTCTGATACATTTTTAACTACTCCAGCTGCGTCGGAGCAAAGTACAAAATGAACGGCCACCTAAGCTTTGAGGAGGGCTGGAAAGTCCTGGAACAGGGGATTTTAAAATGCTCGAAGATTTTGGAGTGCACCAGTACAAGGCCTACTGTGAACGAGTACATGAACTACTATGAGTATGCTTCAACAGCCTCAAGATGCAATATGTATCTTTACTATTATCCATGTGCTACTTAAAGCTGCAGCTCATCATTTGTTCCTCTTTTATTCTAGTTGTGCTTACAAGATGGCTGTGCAGAAACAACATTACTGCCAAGAAATGTACAACGGTTTCAAGATGACGCTTGCAGAATGTGTCCGCACAATGGTACTATAATTATTGTTTTTTGTTTCTACTCCATAACCTACTGTAGTTGAGGTAAAATATTCTAGAATTGAACATCTCGAGTTCTAATGCTGAAAAGGGACAACTAAAATCATATGTCTGAAAAAGGACCACTGTGGGTGCAGTTCTTGCTTTTTTATATCTCTGCTTCAGTGTATGAAATCTTGTGACACATGAGCTATTTCATGGCAATTTCTGTGTTAGTGCTATATTTGTCCTCAGTTAAAACCCTGGCTAATAAATCTATGATAGTATTTAGTATAGATCCACAGCAACTATACCAGAGCTTTGCTGCTCGTAAAAAATGAAGCTTAGATCTACATTTGTACTATTTGCTGAATATTTATTACCTACAGTACTATTTGGTTTTTTTACTATTGTGTTTTGCCCTTGATTTGAGGAGCTGACACTGGCAGGAATTGCTGCAGAAGCCATTGTGTATCTAATTGCCCTAGCAACAAAAGCAGATACATTTCGCAACAAAATTACACATGATTGTGATATGTTGATGTGATGTGAAATAGGCATGTGCTAATATTATAAATAAAGTGGATACAGTATTGAACTACTATGGTTGAAACTTGAAAGTGTAATAATCTAATTTCTGTGCATATTTGTATTGTCAATTGGTCATGTACAAACATAACAAACATTACTGTTTCTTTAGGAATTCTGGAAGATTGGCTCCTACCTAAATTTTCATTGACAAAATAAAAAAACAGTTTGTCACAAACAAAATAGATATGGATCAGAGTGAGAAAACAGAAGATGTAGTACCGTCGTTTCCCTGCTTTACTGTAGCACCTCTGTAATGTCATTTTTATTACAGTAGACGCCACCCTGATTTACTGTAGAGCCACCACGGTATTATTCCTATCGAAATACCCCACTTCAGATATACTCCATGTATCTGTGTACAATTCAGTTTAGAGATGCTTACCAAGTTAATTGAGTTTGGCAAGGATATCTTCCTTTACCCCCTGGCTTGACATTTTTCACTCTTGTTTGTTTATTAGGTTCTGCCCCATCTCATGCACAAGCAAAATGACAGCTTTTTCAGAGAGCTTGTGAAAATGTGGTCAAACTATTGCATCATGATTAGATGTGTAACTGGCTTCTTCAGCTATTTGGACCGCTGCTATGTGGAGCAGTACAAACTACCATCACTTAGTGACACTGCTGCTACTTCTTTCTTTGGTCCGGTGAGTATTATTCAAGAAAATGTTTTGCTTCCACATTTCCTCCTGCTTGTGAAGATGACTGCTTACCCATTTCTCTGTCTTATGTCCTTTGCCCATCTGCTAGGTCTTTTCCTACTTCAATGATGAAGCAAGAACTGCTCTTCTTACTCTGGTAATTCTTAGATAGCTGTCTTTCACCCTTTTTTCTTTCTTTCAACGCATTCCTTCTGTACATAACATTCAAGTTGATCCTAGATCCAACAAGAACGTGATGGAAGCATGATGGATTCGAGCCTTCGGGATGTTATGCATGGCATATGTTGTTCTGAAGTCAAATCCATAATGCAAAATGCTTTTCTTGATGAAACATATGGCTACTACTCCATGAGAAGTTCTGAATGGATTAGGCACTACTCTTTGCCAGATTACCTTGCTAAGGTCAATATATTTATAATATTGTATAAGTTAATGCCGTTCTTCTACAGCTTGTAGACACTTCTGATTATGTTGTCTACAGGTTGAGGAAAGTATGGAAATGGAAACCAAGAGGCTGGCTTACTATCTCGAAATTTCAAGTGGGGACAGCTACCCGCTCTGTTTGCAGGTTTCTTTCTACTGTCACGTTAACAGTAATTGTCGCTCCCGCTTCTGTTAGAAGTAGTACCATACAGTTGATGTAGGTTATCCGCTGTTGTTGTTATGTTTGGTTTCCTTGCCCAACCATGACTAGACTTGCACGTGGGCAAGGAAATTTGATTTTGGACAAGCATTTTGTTTTGAACTCGAAATCCTTATGTTCCTTGTTTATTTCCCAATTTATGCACCCTCTACACTTGGCTACCAGGAGTGAAGTGTTAAATTGGGAAGTGAAATCTGCTGTTGCCTAGGCTTTATTGGAATCCTGTACATTGCATGCATGCAACAAACATGAGACAATTTGCTGATTTTACTCATTGCAGGCTGTTAATGCTCCATTGATGGAAACTTATGTCAATTACGTGACAGAGAAACAAATCGGTGGTCAGCTGATGCTTGAAACGTACAAGGTAAATTCAATTGCGCTACCTGTTACAGTACCACAGTTTAATGGTTAGTTTGTTTTTTACTAGCTTGCATCTGATCCAATATTCCAATCCTTCACTCAATGCAGACTGTTGAGGAGGAACTGCTTGGCAGATGCAGTAGCTTGACACTTGGTTGATCGGTCAGCAGTTCTTTGGACCGAGTGGAGTGGGAAGGCAACTTTACCTAACATCCATCCATGACCCAGCTTACGTACAGGAGAGTTTTGGAACATGACCAACTTTTGCTGCAGCTCGTTTTTGGTACTGCTCAAAGCTACCCAGCTTACTCGTATCGTAGACTTGTTACAAGCAGATTTAGCTGCCGATACGAATGCATGATTCAGTTGAGATTTATGCGGATGACATTCGTGATTCCCAGGATGTAGGGCTGTGAGCTCAAGCGTCTTGACCCTTTTGCCTCATCTCGCGTGTTATTTGGCAGAAGAACGGATTCCCTTGGAAATGTACATGATGCTTGATCTCTGTGATCAAGATGCTCGTTTCTGTGACTACCATCTAAGAACTACCAAATGCTTGCTCGTAACTTGTTTGAGATGTCTGTTTCGATCTCTTTGGTTGAGAAGTCTTGATGTTTGTACTCGTATCTAGTTTGTCTTCTCCATGAATGTCTGATGGCGTGTCTACAGCATGAGTATCCTATTCGATTGAGAGTTACAGTGGCTATCCAAGCTTGCCGTATTCTACACTCGATCGATCTTCCTTAGGCGATCTCCCCCCTCTCTAAACCCCCCCCCTGTCGCCCTTATCTTCCAAGAATGATGTGTTCGGGGAAAAAAAAGGTAGAAGAAGCTTTTGAAAAAGTGATAGGCGGCCTAATTCTCCTGCCTTTTGGTGCTGTTCCCATTTATCTATCTTCTGCCCCTCAGGTTCAAGGTATCTCAGGAGATAAGCTCGGCCGATCATCCCATTCCCATGTAGGGTCACGGACTTGATGGCCAGAGTTCAAAGCAGCTTTGCCTGTGTACTTTGACGTAAAATCAGCTTTGACACGTGTTGCACAGTTCAAGACACAGACTGATGCACTCAGCAACACACACCAAATACTGTACACAAATACAATACTAACTCTTGTTTTCAGATAAGAAAAGTGATTGATACGGCACTGCATGCTTCAGTAGTACAGTAGTTTGCCTTTGCAAACTTGCAAGCACAGGTAGAGGCAGCTTGACCAAATCATATGCAACTACGTTGAGGTTTGCTCAGGAACCGTGCCGTTGTGCTCTCCGGCCGGCGGATTAATCTTGGCGAACTCGAGCGTCTTCTTGCCCTCAAGCCTGCTGGTGACGTAGTGGCGGCTGTACTCGCCGTGGTTGAACCTCCGGTACCGGCACGGCGTCTCGTCGGTGACGAACTCCGGCAGTGGTCCCAGCTCAACGTCGTAGGCCGGCGCGTAGAACGTCACCACCGACAGCCGGTCCTGCTCGCCGTTCACCACCGCCCGGTGCTCCACGCTCTTGTACCTGCCGTTCGTCAGAACCTGCACACGCAGCAGCGTGGTCAGTGTCTGAGTGGTGTGTTGGACAGAATCACAGAAACCAAATGCGAATTCTGCTCGCCTCAAGGGTGTCGCCGAGGTTGACGACGAGGGCGTGCGGGACGGGGTGGACGGGCACCCAGGCGCCAGCCTTGCTGCGCACCTGCAGGCCGGCGCAGCTCATGTCCTGCTGGAGCACGGTGACCGCGCTGCCGTCCGAGTGCGCGCTGAGCCCCATGACGAGCTCCGGGCGCGGGCACGGCGGGTAGAAGTTCATGCGCACCGCCTGCACCGCCTCGCCGAACATGTCGCCGAACGTGGCCGGCGCCAGGCCTAGCGTCTCGGCGATGTGCGCGAGCAGCGTCCCGCAGAGCGTCCTGACCTCCGCGGAGTACGCCTCCAGGGTCTCCCTGAACCCAGCCGGGGACGTCGGCCACAGCTTCGGCTGCCGGATGGACGCCGGCTCCACGCCCAGCGCCAGCATGTTGCACCAGTCCAGCTTCTGGTCCTCCGAGAAGACGAACGCGTGGCCGTACCCCTGGATCCCGCCCGGCGCCATGGGGTACTTCTCCTTCTCCCCCAGCGGCAGCATGAAGAACTCCCTCGCCAGCTTCTCCATCTCGTCCAGCAGCTCGTGCGCGATGCCATGGTTGACAACCTACACACACGCATGCAGACCAATTCCATCTCAGCATGACGCGCGATGAATCGATCAAGAACCCGGCCGTCACAGAACGCCGGTCACCTGGAAGAAGCCCCACTCCTCGCAGGCGAGCCTGAGCTTGTCCAGCTCATCGCCGCGCGGGAGCTCGCCGACGTCGATCACCGGGATGTGCGCGAGGGCGAAGACGCTGTCGCCGTCCGGCCGGTCGTCGCCGTCCCTGATGTACCGATCGGGCACCGTCGTCAGGCCCGTCCGGTGCAGCTCCTGGACGTCGTCGACCTGGCCTACCTTGATCTCAGCGGCAGCCATGGCATATGCTCCAATGCAACAAGATCTTGCTTGCATACCAAGATGATGATCTTGTCTTGCATTGAATCTTTGTGGGAGGTGGCCTATATATAGGGGGGGCAAGATTTTTCATAGCCGTCCGTTTCTTTTGACAAGAGGAATGATTTGGTTGTCCTGCTTTGGTCATCAACTTGGTCACTAGCTTAGTGAAAGGAGAGAAGGTGTCATTGGGCTGGCCTACCATGCTCCCTGCGTCTGCGCCATCTATTATGGACTGTGATTGACCACTGTTGCACTGCATCATCAGCATGTTGCCGCCATAGTGCAGTCCTGTGCCACATGCATGTGAGCTCAGTCATAGGCTTATAGTCATAGCTCAGGCTGTGTTTAATTTGCGAAATGAAAAGTTTTGGATGTCACATCGGATGTTTCAGGGATGTCGGAAGAGATTTTCGGATATTAATATAAAAAACTAATTACATAGCTCGTCTGGAAACTGCGAGACGAATTTATTAAGCCTAATTAATCCATTATTAGCGCATGTTAGTTACTGTAGCACTTATGGCTAATCATGGACTAATTAGTTTTAAAACATTCGTCTCGTGATTTCCAACTAAACTGTGCAATTAATTTTTTTCGTCTATATTTAATACTCTATACATGTATCGCAAGATTCGATGTGATAGTTTGGGGTGAAAATTTTTAAGAACTCAACCAGGCCTCAGTTGTGGCAGGCAGCATCACCAAGACAGGCAGACAGCAACTCAACATACTGTTACCGATGATCATCCTTGACGACGTGCATGTAACATTGACACATTGTAACCTGATGATGGATGATCGGTCGTAAACAAGAACCCAAGATTCAGAGAATCTGCGTGTGCTGATGAGGTCACAGACTCACAGCCATAGCATTGTCCACTTACCAGTCCACCACCAGCTGTCCTTCCTCCATCCCAAAATAACAGTAGATATTATATTTTGGAAAATTATTTTTGAAAAAATCACTACTAAAAAAAAAAACGTTGGTAACAACGAGATAATTTTTTTTTAGAGACGGCTGGTGATGGAGCCATCCCTACAGTGAGCATGTTCGGGACTCACGAGACCAGCCGCTCCTACAAATAGCACAGTAGGGGCGGTTGATGATACGAGTCGTCCCTATAAATGGGTCAATTTGTAGGGGCAACCCACTCACCAATCGCCTCCGGTGTTGCGATTTGTTGGGACGGCCCCCTACAAATCACACTTGTTCATCATTGATCATTATAGGCAGTTGTGATTTTTCTTTTTAATCTCTGGGTAAAATTTGTAACTAGTCTTTCTCACTCATACTAACTCCAAATGTGATGATTTTTTTTCCTAAAATTTTCTAAAATCATGTCCTATCAAGTTACTTTGTTGATTTGGTCATTCTTTTCGTTTGACAAAGTTTGAGCAATTCAAATTTTTAAATTTAAAAAAAATAATAAGTTCTAATAAGATTTTGAAACACCAAATGATTTCAGCTGAAAAAGTGATGAATACCAAAGATGTATAACTCATCAAGATATACAACTTTTATTTTGGTTATTTCTTCATCTGACAAAGTGATAGTAAACGTTGTTTACAAATCAACATGTCTCTCATATAGTTCATGAAACTATGAGTGATATGTGAATTTGTGAACAATATTTACTAACACTTTGTCAAATGAAGAAGTGACCAAAATAAAAATTATAGATAATGATGAGTTCAACAACTTTTATATTCACGACTTTTGTAGTTGAAATTATTTAAGGTTTTAAAATCTTGTTTGAAGTTCTCATTTATTGAATCGAGGTGGCCTACGTAGAGGGGGGGCAAGATTTTTCATAGCCGTCCGTTTCTTTTGACAAGAGGAATTATTTGGTTGTCCTGATCATCAACTTGGTCACTAGCTTAGTGAAAGGAGAGAAGGTGTCATTGGGCTGGCCTACCATGCTCCCTGCGTCTGCGCCATCGATTATGGACTGTGATTGACCACTGTTGCACTGCATCATCAGCATGTTGCCGCCATAGTGCAGTCCTGTGCCACATGCATGTGAGCTCAGTCATAGGCTCATTCATAGTCATAGCTCAGTGGTGGCAGGCAGCATCACCAAGACAGGCAGACAGCAATTCAACATACTGTTACCGATGATCATCCTTGACGACGTGCATGTAACATTGACACATTGTAACCTGATGATGGATGATCGGTCGTAAACAAGAACCCAAGATTCAGAGAATCTGCGTGTGCTGATGAGGTCACAGACTCGCAGCCATAGTATTGTCCACTGACCAGTCCACCACCAGCGGTCCTTCCTCCATCCCAAAATAACCGTAGATATTGTATTTCGAAAAAATATTTTTTTAAGTTTAACTAGATTTACAAAAGCATTATCAAAATTTATATTTATTTTCTAACATATTTATTATATAATTCTAATATATTCAATTACTATTAATCTAATAATATTTATTATAAATCATAAATATTAGTATATATTTTTATATAAGTGATCAAAATTTTAGAAAAATGAATCTTGAAATAGTTATTTTAGATTAGAGGGAGTAATCTGCATGCTCGAATCGAGGATGAAGCTGGCAACCACAGACACAGAGGAGGTGAGGAATATAGCTCTTTGGGCCTGTGCTCCTCACTTTTGGGCCTCTAGAAATCTCCAAAAGAAACATGAGTGCTGTCTCGTATAGCTACTGGGCGGCAATGCGCTTTAGCTCTCTGCAGTAGTGCTTCGTGACCGTCGTCTTTGCTCCATGATTTGACATTATTTCTTCCGCAAGACGAACCACTTTGGGTGGTTGGTCAGCCAGTTGTTTAATCATTTCATCCTAGAGTAGAGTTGATTGGGAAACTTGGGGCCTCAAATAGTCAAATACAATCATCCTTTCATCGATCTCCCCCACTTTACGAGATTGGACTCAAATTAAAATATCTCGGGATGATCAAGGCTATTGGTGGATCATGATTCGTCTACTTTTGTACAAGCGTCTCTGAATAAAGTTTTCAGGGGAACTCATTTGATTGTAGCTCACTACAAGTTTTACGGTGGTTTAAAAATAAAAAGAGACGTAAAGGGAAATTGAGTGGTAGAAAAATACAGAAGATATCTAAAAAAGGTGCTCCAAAGTATCGAATAAGTAGAGATAGTATAAATAGGTACCCATATTATTTTTTTCAATAATTTAACAAAGATTAAGGGTCTCTTTCTTTAGAACATAGGAATATATCACATGAATCAGTTTATTTTCATGGGAAACACACGGGAAATATATAAAAAGTCTTTCATTCCAAAAAGGGTCTGAACTAGCAAAGTCACTCTACCCTCACACGGCTTCAAGTTTAGACCATATAACCCCCGACCCCCTGGTCTCTGCTATAGAAGCGGTGTGAGCCAAAGGATTTATTTAATCCCTAGGGTTAGTAAAACAAAAAATATATCAATATTTTCCATGATTTTATCTTCTATACTGAGATATAACATTATATTTGTAGTGTCACTGTTTTTATCTTTTTGACCAAAGAAATGTCCTTTCTCGATATATAACATTTATAAGTCAACCCAAATCGCTTCTTCATATTTGGAAATACAAGGTACTTTTAGAACACCAATGGACATACAAGACGAATTTCAATCCTCGGCTCCATATTCCTTTTTTATGATATATGTATCATCTATTATTTATACGGATTTGCTTTTCTTTCCTAAAAGAGTTTTAGCCTAACTATTCTTTATTATTTTTCTTGTTCCAAGAAATATATAAGGACAAAGGTCTTCTAAACCTTTGGTATATGTTAAATTCAAATTCTATTGGATGCAAACTTTTTTTTTGAATAACGATACTAAAAAAATTGCATGATTCAAATGAAAAACTTTCAAAACGATTCCACACCCGCGGGGAATATTTGGAGCCAGTATCTAAACACAGACTTTGCAACCCTGCTTGTTGGTGGCCTGGTGGGTGGGCCACACAGAGGGCCGCTTGTCAGCACAACAGCCTAGTGATGGCAAAATACGACGCTGCTCCAACCCAACACACAACACTGGAGCATCCGAACCAAAGGCAAAATTGGCCTTTATTTGGTTTGCTTGTTTCAATAGGGCTAGGCTGATTACTACTTAGCTCTGGGCTGGATCTGGATGCCAATGGGCTACCTGCAACAAACCAAAAACAAAAACATTTTACGCATCCATTAGCATCACGATGTCTATCTCTATCTCCCTCCAATTCTATTCTATTGATGAGTATCATCGAGTGGGACTCGGGGGCGAAACTAGCCACCGTCGCCGAAGCCCCCGGCCACGCCGGCTCCCCTGGCCGCTCTCCAGTTAGCAGTGGCGGCGGCCCGCTGCGGTGCTTAAAAAGGCATTCCGCAGCAGCCTCCGGCTCCCCCTCCCTCTCCTTCTCTCTCCTCCTCCCCATTAGAGCTTAGACTTTTCTACAACAAAAATGGGCGGCGGGGGCTGGGAACACTGGATCTAAGCCCTTTGGCCCCGGATCCGCGACCACCACCATGGATCCGGCGAAAGGCGGGAGATCAAGAGCAGCGGCTGTCGGGGACCAATACTAGGGTACTCGAAGAGGCGGAGCTAATAACCATCAACATCGATTCGTCCGAGCAGTCAAGAGCGCGACTACAGCCCCAACCGACCCCCAGGTGCGCAAGCTTCGCCTCGCCCGGCCTCTAAGGGCGGGCTCCGCCTCGCCCGACACCGAGGCCACGGGCTCCGCCTCACCCGACCTCTGAGGGCAGGCTCCACCTCGCCCGACCTCTGAGGGCGGTCTCCGCCTCGCCCAACACCGAGGTCGCGGGGCTCCGCCTCGCCCGACCTCTGAGGGCTGGCTCCGCCTCGTCCGACCTCTGAGGGCGGGCTCCGCCTTGCCCGATCTCAGGTGACGGGCTCCGCCTCGCTCGACCCTTGGGTTTGCGCTCCGCCTCGCCCGGCCTCTGGGGGGGACTTCGCCTCGACCGACCCCGAGGCCTGGGGATCCATCTCTCCCAACGAAGACCCATACCACCGCCAACCACTCCAGGTCCAAGCGAATGTGCCTGGGTGAAAGCTCTGACACTAGGGAGGTGACCGGCATGCCCCGATATAACCCGTGACCGTGACAGGCCATACCTAGGGATTCACATCAGGAACAGCGTCGAGCGTACCGGTGCTGTTCTGCCTAACCCTCGTATGAGGACTGACAGATGCGTTAGTTCACCACAATGTCCGCCAGGATGAAGTGGAGCACCACGACCGGGAAACAACGCCTGCGCATGGCGCCAGTGACGGACAGGGCCGCGACATGGAGCTATCCCTGTTGATGTCTACAGGGTTGGCGGGACCCGCATGAAGGAAACGAAGGACCCGGCGATCCTAGAGGACTTCTTCTCCTTCTCATTCTTCTCTTTTTCTTCCACTGTAACCCGTGTTTTCCTTGGCCTATAAAAGAGAAAGCAGGGCATCCCATGAAGGGGACTCGAACCCATCAAACCCCAAACCGATCAGAACACTCAAGCACACAGCCGAGAAATAACCGAGCTCTCAGCACCCGTTCGCTCCTCTCACCAGAGACTTGGGACATGTCCCTCTCTCGATCGTTTGTAACCCCTACTACGAACTTTTAGTGCTAGTAACATGAGCAGCAGCAACGAACTGGACATAGGGACATTCTGCCAGAACCAGTATAAACCTCGTGTCTTCTTAGCACACCATCCGAGCCAGACGCGTAATATTAGAAATTTACTTGTCGGTGGTAACTCGAAACACCGACAGTTGCCGTGCTAGGTAGGGGCCTTTTGCGTGTCTCGATATCCACACTAGGCCTCAGATGGCTAGTCGCAACGTCAGCTGGGTCTTTCGGCTTGCGTCTAGGCTTATTCTTGAGTCTTTATGTTGGCTCTTCTTGTTGTTTCTGTTAGGTGTTATTGTGGGTTGTTGTTGTTGTAATCTCTCTTTCCTCTCCCACTTATCGTACTTCTGCGACCTCTAAGATCGTCTTTGTAATAGGTGCATTGCACCCTTTCACCCACCGGCATGCCAGGATCTGTGAAATGAAAGCAGGTGGGGATCGTTCCCCCGTAGTTGATCTAAAAAAAATTCTATTCTATTCTTCGATTTCCTCCTCATAATTTTTGTTTTAGCGGAAATGTGCTAGATAAAATATAATACTCGTAAATGTTGTTTCACATTAGACTGTCTTCAACAAATGACCTACATGGACACCTAAACCCAAAATAGGTAGCAAGAGATAAAAAAACGGCCTCCAACAGAGTACCTGTACGGGAGACCCATTTTGGGTTGCCTGAGAGCCACAACCCAAATATGAGCATCCTCCCCCCTAAAAACCCATTTGAAAAAAGGATTATCTTTTGGGTCCTGTTATTGGAGAAGATGCCGAGTGTGTATTGAACTCTTTTTCTATAGTGCTATCCATAGGTCCAATGTGTCTTGTATTTTGGGTGTTGTTGTTGAAGATATTGTTATCTCGACTGAAAAGGGTTCAATCGGAATATAAATAAATGAATAAATAAAAATAGGGTATAATAATTGCACAGTGACAAATGAATCAATCCACCATCATAGCCTAGGCCCCTCCTCCGCCTACCCAGTGCCGCGAGGCTCGTGACGTGGCGCAGTCGGGCCGCGCGCTCTCTCCGGGCCGGACGCCTCGCGCCGCCGCTCGAATTGATGGACGCCGAGGCCGGCGTCGCCGGCGCCGACCAGCTGCCGGTAGGGGCGCCACACTCTCGTTCTCTCATTGCCGTGATTCCGCTCTCTGCCCCCGGTGGCCGGTGCGTGTGCCTGCGTCGCGATCGGGGTTGTCCTTGCGGGGGTCAGATTTAGGGGATTACTGTGCGGGATCCTCACGGGGACTAGGGATTAGATCGATCTGTCTCTCTCTCGGCTGATTCATTCCTCCCCTGGGTTCCAATCTGAAGGGTACAGTACTTAGTATCGTTCGATTTCTCGGCCGCAAATGTTTCGGTTTGGTTGCGGCGACAATGGTGGAGCAGGAAGCGGAAACTAGCCAGCTTGTGCGATTTTATTTCAATCGGGGATCACTGGTGTTAAGCAGACATGGTCATGTATAATATCACCATGTTGTTGTTATTAAACAGTCATTTGGTTGCATATATATGAACCGTTTCCCTTGTTGATTTTTTTTTTTGTTACACAAGACAATTAATGAGCATTGTAGTACTACTTTAGAGCACTGCTTTGAATATGCAGATCATGATCCTTCTCAATATTTCCTAACGGTCGTCGTTCTGACTTGCAATTTCAGCGGAGGCAGTACTACATGAATCTATTGCTTTTAGCTTACCAGAGCTTTGGTGTTGTTTATGGGGACCTAAGCACATCACCTCTTTACGTTTATAAAAGTACATTCTCTGGAAAGCTCAGTCAGTACCAGGATCAGGAGACAGTGTTCGGTGTGCTTTCCCTGATCTTCTGGACCTTCACTCTTATTCCTTTGCTGAAGTATGTCACTATTGTCTTGAGTGCTGATGATAACGGTGAAGGTGCGTGTATATCCCTTCCTAAACATTCTCTCTATATTTTTATATGCCTGGATGGAATGGAATTAGTTTGTTGTAATCCAACATGTATATTGGCTAGCAACAGTATGTAAGAAAATCTAAGGCTATACTGTTTATCGTCCTGATAGATCTTATATTAAATGAATATAGCCCTTAATCTATCTTCTGAAATAAGGCCTATCTTGGCACTTGTATCTTACAAATGAATAAGAGCTGCCTACACTTTTGTAGGTGGACCATTTGCTCTCTATTCGCTCCTTTGCAGGCATGCAAAACTCAGCTTGCTTCCAAATCAACAAGCAGCCGATGAGGAACTTTCTTCATACTACAGAAATGGGTTTGCACCTCGCAATGGATCTTCACCATGGTTAAGAAGGTTTCTGGAGAAGCACAAAAAAATGAGAACTGTGCTTCTTCTCATAGTTCTCTGTGGCGCTAGCATGGTGATTGGTGATGGTGTCCTTACCCCAGCAATCTCAGGTGGATACTTACTGCCGCACTAATCTATTTGATTGCCTCTCATGTTGAGAAAAATTGCAGTTATCAACCTTTTCTATATATTTATCATGCTTCATTCTGCTTGTTCTTTTCTTGCAGTCCTCTCATCTATGTCTGGATTACAAGTTCGAGCTACTGGTTTAGAGCATAGTAAGTACAAACCATCTATGTGAACTCATAGCTCTTGAATCTTGATGCAAAAATGTTGAAAACACACCTGTTGTTATGGGAGTACTAGTGGTTGCAAATTTCTAGCAGTATGTAAATTCGCTTGATAAATAGGAGTACAATAAATTTCTAAGACCCATACTTGTGTGCTCAAAATTATCACAAAACCACACATTTTAGAACCGTTATCATAGAACAATACAAATTTGCACATATTATCATAGAACATTAGTGGATGTTTTCTGTATTTCTGTGTCTTTTATGAAGATCACCTTTTATCATTTATATATTCAGATTCTCTGGCATACTTTTTTAGAATCACCAGTTTTACTTCAGAAGTTGATCCTGTTGTGTTTCACACGCAATTTGTGTCCTATACAGGTTCTGTAGTTCTCCTTTCATGCATTGTGTTGGTTGGTCTATTTGCCTTGCAACACCGAGGTACTCAGAAGGTTGCATTCATGTTTGCACCAATTGTCATCATCTGGCTGCTTTCCATTGGAGGAATTGGTTTATACAACATTCTTCATTGGAACCCAAATATATATCAAGCTCTCTCTCCCTATTATATGGTTAAGTTCTTTAGAAAGACAGGTAAAGATGGATGGATTGCTTTAGGAGGGATCCTTCTTTCTATGACAGGTTAGTTACTATCAGCCCTACAGTGCGGTGATGTATCATGTTTGCCTTTCCCTTACTTTTTTTTTATAATCTGGTTGTCATTTAGGATTTAATCACCAGGTCTACTTTCCACTTTTCAGGCAGTGAAGCAATGTTTGCTGACCTTGGTCACTTTAAGAGTACATCTGTCAGGGTAAGTTGAACTAGTATGATCCTCTGTCCATTAGAATTTTTTTTTCTCGAATGATGCAGGAGAGCTGCTCATCATTTCATTAAGAAAGAAAAGGTACAACAAGCCATGTTTAGAAAAACCAGACTCGAGGCCCCAAACACACACGACAGACTAAAAAAACTTGCCCCAAAAAACTACATGACCATCTGACCACACCGGTGTCTAAACCCCTGGGGTCAGCGACCTAGCTAGGATCTTTCCATTAGAATTTCAACTGGAAAACATTCGGTCCTTTTGGGTATATCAATTTTATGTTCTGTAATTTTATTAGGTGGTGAAGTGTGCTGTGTGATGAAGCAGACATGAAAAATGACTTAGATATAATCTATATGTTTCCTTGTAAAAAATAGCAGCAAAGTTATTGTACTAAACAAATTATACATGTAAAAGAAATTTATTTCAACATGCTCACTTTAAAAGTATATAACCTGCATATTTGAGACATATCAGAAACCCAAAAGAAGCCAGTTAATTGGGGAATTCCTATTAGATTTTCTAATTGTCTGACTTGTCTGTTACTACAAGGATACAGCTTATGTTTGGTTGAAATATGCACCTTCTTCTGAAACAAAACATGTTTAAAGTGTACAATTGTTTTCTCCTTGGTTCAGGTGGCCTTTATTACCGTCATATATCCATGCCTTATACTACAATATATGGGTCATGCTGCATTTCTGTCGAAGAACACATTTCACATGCCGACAAGTTTTTATGATACTATCCCAGGTTTGTGTCTCCTCCCTCACCCCAGCCCCTCCTTTTTTCCATGGACATAGTGTAATTTAAGTTTGTAATGTCATGCAGAACCTGTGTTTTGGCCTGTATTCGTGGTGGCCACACTCGCTGCAGTTGTTGGTAGCCAAGCTGTTATTTCAGCAACGTTCTCCATTGTGAAACAATGCCATGCTTTGGGATGTTTCCCACGAGTGAAGGTTGTTCACACATCGAGGTGGATCTATGGGCAGATATATATTCCAGAAATAAATTGGATCCTTATGGTTCTTTGTGTCGCTGTCACTATTGCATTTCGTGATACTACTCTTATCGGCAATGCCTACGGTAAGCTTTTAGCATTGATTCACAAGCGTCGGAATCCTTCTTGTCTATATATATATATTTTTTTTTAAAAATCCAGCATTCTCATGCACTGGGAGTCTAAGCACAGTAGTATTTTCTTTCTGTGTTTCCAGGTATTGCCTGCATGACTGTTATGCTTGTTACTACATTCTTGATGGCATTGATAATAATCTTTGTTTGGCAAAGGAACATAATATTTGCGCTAGTTTTCCTGGTGTTCTTTGGATCCATTGAAGCCGTATATCTTTCGTCATCTCTCATGAAGGTTCCTCAGGGAGGATGGGTGCCCCTTGTGCTTGCTTTCATATTCATGTCAGTCATGTACATCTGGCACTATGGGTTAAGGAGGAAGTACCAGTTTGACCTACAGAACAAAGTATCAATGAGATCCATCTTATCTCTGGGTCCAAGCCTTGGCATAGTTCGGGTTCCTGGTATTGGATTGATTTACACAGAGCTGGTCACTGGTGTACCCTCCATCTTCTCACATTTTGTCACTAATCTCCCTGCCTTCCATGAAGTCCTAGTCTTCCTTTGTGTGAAGTCAGTGCCAGTGCCATATGTTTCACCAGATGAGCGATACCTTGTCGGTAGGATTGGACCTAAAGAATATCGGATGTACCGTTGCATTGTTAGATATGGTTACAAAGATGTGCAGAGAGATGATGACAATTTTGAGAACATGTTAGTCATGAGCATTGCAAAGTTTATTATGATGGAAGCCGAGGATGCTTCTTCTTCAGCAAGTTATGATATCGCTAATGAAGGAAGGATGGCGGTTATAACCACCACTGATGCCTCTGGCAGTCCATTGGCCATGAGAGATTTCAACGGCCTAGCTGACTCCATGACTACGAGGAGCAGCAAATCAGAAAGCCTTCGAAGTTTGCAATCCTCTTACGAGCAAGAATCCCCAAGTGTAAGCCGGCGCCGCCGTGTTCGCTTTGAGGTCCCAGAGGAGGATGACATGGGTCAGCAAGTGAAAGAAGAACTCATGGCACTAGTGGAAGCGAAACATGCTGGGGTGGCATACATCATGGGTCATTCTTATATCAAAGCTAGGAGGAGCTCAAGTTTCCTGAAGAAGTTTGCTATTGATGTTGGCTACTCTTTCCTCCGGAAGAACTGCAGAGGTCCATCAGTCACACTGCACATTCCACACATTAGTCTGATAGAAGTCGGCATGATCTATTATGTTTAGCCTAATGCCCATTGTCTAAGTTCACATGTGGATACCCGGTTGGGACAAAGCTTGGTGAGTTCTCGTTGGAACATGTGGGCCTTTTTTTTTTGCCCTCCTTCGTAGGTGGAAATTAACTTAGAAACTGATTTAAACTAATAACCTTCGTTTCTGTTTTCCCTTCAATGCTATCTGCGGATTTTCATCTGGAGTTCAGGCTTGTGCTTTCTGGGCCAAGGATCCTCGTGTGCTTAAGTTTCAGCTTGTAGAGAAGAAGGCAGACTTTCCTTGTTAATATTGTTTTTAGCCTAAATAAACCAGCAGAATGTTGCCGGTTATGTTTCTCATTTGGCATATTTGCATGCATGCTGTGATTTTTTCTGCGAGCTATGTGATGGAAATATACGCATTCTCTTTATAAGCTGGTCAGCGTTCTCTATCGTATACGACTAGCAGTGTTGTCTTGCCCAGTTTTGCCGTGACAAATTTTTTTTCTTATACAATGCGGGGTGGCACTTGAAACATAAAATATTGGTTAATGTTTTTTTATTGAAAAGAAAGGATTTTATTAATTCGATGATGCAATAATCCTGAACCCACATCTAGCCTCTGCAAAAACACAGCCACTCTCTCTCTCTCTCTCTCTCTCTCTCTCTCTCTCTCTCTCTATATATATATATATATATATATATATATATATACACCCACAGCGTGAGGTAACTTCACGCTCCTGCATGCAAAACTAAATGGAGACAACCAACTACGTGATGCCAGCTAACAGCTCAACCCATCACACCAGAAAGCATGCATGTAGAAAATTTTTTGTTGATTTCAAACGAAAAAATACGATATCTTCTAAACCATAGATCCGATTTTAGATCTGTTTGAAGTAGGTTGTTGAAAAAATATGCTTAACACACGAGATCCATGAAAGTTGTATGAAGTTTTTTTTTTCAAATACGTAATTGCAATATGTTGTACTATGAGTTGCAAGCACTTCTACAACACAATTGTAATTTGACTGTAGCGTATTTAGCACTGGTTGCAATGAATGTTGTATTTGATGAAGTTTTTTTTTCAAATACGTAATTGCAATATGTTGTACTATGAGTTGCAAGCACTTCTACGACACAATTGCAACTTGGTTGTAGCATATTTAGCATTGGTTGCAACGAAGACTGTATTTAATGAAGTTTTTTTTAAATACGTAATTGCAATATGTTGTACTATGAGTTGCAAGCACTTCTACAACACAATTGTAACTTGACTGTAGCGTATTTAGCACCGGTTGCAATGAAGGTTGTATTTGATGAAGTTTTTTTTTCAAATACGTAATTGCAATATGTTGTACTATGAGTTGCAAGCACTTCTACAACACAATTGCAATTTGGCTATAGCGTATTTAGCACTGATTGCAACTCAAAATTGCAACTTGGCGTGATTACAGTGACCAGATGCATATAATACACAGAGTTATAACTAGTTGCAACTAGGTGGTAGACAGAGTTGCAATCGGTAGTACATTGACATGCAACTCGCTTAAAGGATAAAAAATATATCCATATTGGATCTAGTTTTGTTCAGAATATTTTTTTGAGTCGGATGCAACAAACGGTTTGTCAATCGGGGTTACGGTTTAAGAGAAAATTTGTTTCAAAGATTCAAACCAACAAAAACATCCATGCATGCATGTATTCGCTTGGTATTTGGTTGCTCCAAGTTGGTGCGCCCGCCGGCCTGGGTGCATTCTATATACATGATGCACCCGGATATATTATAGCAAAACAGTATATATATATATATATATATATATATATATATATATATATATATATATATATATATATATATATATATATATATATATATATATATATATATATATATATATATATATATATACAGCTGGCCGTAAAATAACTTATTATATAGCCACCTTAATTTACGATAACATGAATATGCATTTACGATACTCGTGTTACTACAACTCACGGTGATATTTACCATAATGTTATAGTAAATCACTTAATAAGGAGTTACTGTAATCTCGTAAATTAGCATGGTAATTATCGTAACTCAAAGAAAGTGGCCACAGAATAAGTTATTCTATGACCAGTTGCAGAACAGTAGTGTTATATATATATATGATAAGTTGATTGCTGCAACTGAGTTACCAGAAGGTTCTGCACCATCATAATCCTCTTTAACGCGCAAGAGAACAGAAGGGTCTTCTCCAGGAGTATTAAAATAGCCACCTCCTTGTTTATCCAAAAACAACTCATCCTACCAATGCCAAAAGTTATGACATAATATATGGATTCATTAAGAGTGAAAATAGTTTCCTCAAGAAAAATGAAGAGAGAAGATACAACACAGAAGAGTTTAACAAATACAATTAACTTGCCTGAGTGACTTGCAGTTGGACAGCCCACAAAAGCCACTCTATCTTTCCACCAAACTCGTAGAGATCCAGCAAGCCACTGATTAGAAAAGCATAATCATCTAAAAATCCTGGTGCTTTCGATGGCCCATTGCGATAGCTATGATGCAGCCTCTTTGAGCTTGCATCATAAAGTTTTTCCTTTATAAAGTTAGCCGCATTTTCTGCAACTTCAAGATATTCAACTGGCTGCAAAAACACCCAGAAACATGAGAATATCTAACTTGTCCAGAAAAAAAAAATAGTTATCATAGCTATACTTGGAGTAAATAACATTGTGATGTGGAAGAGCATACAAAAAAAAATATCTGACACATTTTCCTCTCATAAGCATGAGATGACAGCTAAAAAATGCATATAACGCAACACAAGGGATAGGTGCAAATATGGTGCACAACATCATGGTACTTCCTTTGACATGCAAGGTGCAGGCATCAGTCACTAACAACCTAACAGTTAAGAAATTATTATCATGGATTCCCGTGAATCAGTTTGGACAAGGGAAACTATCATAACACATGTTAAGAGAAATACAATTGAAGCAAGCAAAATGAATACTCCTGAAACTCTTGCTATATTGATTAGATCGTCATGTAGTACGACTGTAAATGAAAGATGGGATGGAGGAACGTGAGACCCCACTAAATGGGCCAAAGCTGGGCCGGTCTGATGGTGGGCTGGGCCGTTGGACTACTGTAGCTCAGGTTATCGGGGTACTGTAGCCCGCGGTAGGTACTGTAGAAGGCAGCCTTAGTGCCACGTCGGAACCAGGAAGGGTTGTACCAACTTAAAAAGCTTGAGCTCTGGGAGTGTGTAGAGTGGATCCTAACCGTGGCTGGGGCGTTACAAGGAAGAAGCAAAGCCTTACATTGCAGCCAGTTACAGGGAAATTGAATATATTTCCAGATGGTCCTGACTTCAGAATTTGTGAAGCCCTTGCAAAAGCAGATATTGCTAGCCCATTCCAGGAAACAATAACCTAAAAAGTATTTGTAGTTAGTAGATTGTAGCCTGGTTAAAATGAGATGTGACGGACATGTAAAAGAGAACCTTATCATCCAAATGAGGTCTTGGTCTTTTTGACCGGACATCAAACAACTTCTGCCGACAATCCCCCAGGATTTGAGAATATTAATCAAGAGATTTTCCACACTTCGATGCCATCGAAGAAGCTGGTTTTCTTTCTATCAGCACATTCTTACAACTGAACTCATTGTGAGGATCGCTCATCGGTGAAAGATCACAATTGCCGGATGATTTAACATAGTAATGGTTCTTGAATAGCTCTGCATTCTCCCCAAGTGTGTCTTCGATCTTTTTCAAAATGCAGAAATTAAGCATAAAACAAGTTCTAAGTATATGAATATAACTGATACTATACAGATATTCAATGATATGACAACTATCAATAAGCAGTTGCCAACAAGGCTGTAGGACTGTCCTGCCTCAACCCCACCTTTTGATCCAACCTTGTTCACAATTTTAATTTAAGGTTTATGACTTTTTAGGTGGATTCTAAACATCAGAACTGAAAAACTCAGATTTGAAGCTTCAATGTCGGCAAATCAAGTGGGAATTATTTTCAAGGAAGTGATCACATGTCCACATTACGTGAAGTATATAACAAGTCTGCATATATGTACCTCTTTACTGGTCCGCACATAAAAGGCCCCCTCCTTTTTTCTTGAAGCGCCTTCATATTCTGCACTGTCAGCATCTTCTGCTGAGAAAATTTCACCTTCTTTTACTATCATGTCTCTCCTCAAGTAATCTAGTATGTCATGTGCAACTATAGAATAATACTCGTCTCCCGTAATCAGAAATGTATCCAGGTATACATTTACTATCTGTCCCTGATCGTACAACATCTTCTCAAAATGTGGAACTGAAGATGCAGAGAGCATGTGAGAGGAGCATTCTCCAAAGTCCAGAAATGAAATTTCTCCATGATATTGGACCAAACTTACGGTGCCAGCACTCGTCCACACTATATCTGTGAAAACCACCACCTACGTGGTCATGAACTCCACCTCTTGCCATACAGTCCAATGTGTGAGTCACCATCTTCTTTATGTTCAAGGCTTCACTCTCCTTCCCAGCCTCCATGTGTTTGCGAAATTTATAGAGCATTATATAATCTTCAACAGGTCTTGGAAACTTGGGAGCAGAGCCAAATCCACCAAATTTTGGATCGTACCTGCTCGCTAACTGCAACAACATAAGGTGAAAATCTATTAAGGAAAATAATAAAGGGTAAGTCCATGATTCTCAGGTTTTGCACAAACTACAGTCTATAGGCAGCATTACGTTAACAACAGTTTTAATCATCCCAAAAATACTGTGCTATACGTTGAAACAGCAGAATTTTATTATTGTTCTGGCCGATTCAAAGGTTATTATTATTTTTTTCTCGAACTATGCAGCACAGCTGCATGTCATTTCACTAAGATAGGAGAAACACTCAAAGGTTATTAATTGATGGAGACAACTTCCATCATAAGATAATATTTGAATTTTGATCCTGAACCCATCCATACAAAAGAACAAAACCATGTTAGTAAACTCATAGCGTGTTGTTCAAGCATAACCACCCATAAAAGACATCTGCACACCAGATTTTTTTTCTTCTCTCGAACACGTAGGAGAGCTGTGTATCTTTGTATTAAAGAAGAGAGAAAGGGGTAGAAACCCCAAAGTACACACACTCACACCCTTTTAGTTTTCACTTGTACACCAGATTATAGTTTCTCCAAAATATTTTCATGCAAGAACAAGTTTGTACTTGTCCACGTCGTCATAGAACCTTTACTGCAGAAGCAACTCCGGGAAGTTAGATGATATGGTTGGTCCAACTGATGCTTTATTAGATGGCTGGGAAGGATAACAAAGGCACATTAGATCTAGTCGCCCTCCCTGGGAGGCTTGGAACCTTTATGATCTATCTCTGATTAATGATTACATCAGTTGCAATAGTTTATATAGAGCCTGAGCTAACCTAACCAAATCTTAACAACAAAACTAACTTGATGGGTTAAACTAAAAACAAGCAACAAACTAGTGACAACTTGTTCAGACTGCCGGCTGCTCCTTGAAAAGTTGTTGCTAATAAGTCTTGCCCACAAACGCGTCCCTAATATAGAACAGAGAACATCCATGATACATAGTATGACTGCTCACTGCAAGCCCCTCTTATTTAAGCATATTAGCTACCTAGTTAAGAAAAGCATGAGCACAAGAAAAAAATAAGAATCTAATTAAGTCTGAGTAAACTAGGAGCTAAGCTAACTATATCTGGTGCCTTAAATCAGGACCCAGGACCATCGTTGGAAAAACACACATTTTAGCTACTGGGATAGTGGGATCAGTAAATTTGCCTGTACTTGTTTTCTGATTTTATTTTGGAAAAGAGTCACATACTCTGCTTTTCTTGAAAGCCATTATCCTTTTCTGAATATATCAGTACTTAGTGCAGAAGAATATCTTATTACAGTACCAAAAAAATATACAATAGAGTACTTGTCAAACCTGTTCGACACATTGATCAACAGATACAACTGCTAGATCATTTGGCACATCTTGAGAGCTAGCCTTAGCAGATAATGCATCCCTTAATTGTTCGATAACAAGATTTCCCGACCGCTCAAGCGCTTCACGTTTAGTTTCCCAGGCTTCCTTGACCTTCCTAGAGATAAGATATGCAGTAAACATTTAGTCGTGATGATGGGGATAGCTTCTGACAGACTGACACTATGTACCCTTTTTTTTAGATTAACCGGAGCTTTATATGACACTATGTACTTCAGCTGATACCTCAATACAGTCTTGAACCCTGGTCTTCCATACTTATCATCCGGTGGAAAGTATGCACCACCCATCAGCGGTTTCAAGTCAGGTGACAAAAACGCTCAAAGGCCAACCACCACCACCATGCAGTGCCGATACATATGTCATATATACCTACATATGTGAGGTTATAGTCAACAAAGAACCTAGTGTGCCACCCAATACAAACACGCTCAGAAACCTTTTCGAGCTAACTACACAAAAAAGGGGAAAAGGAACTGCAACTCGGCTAGAAATGGAACTGATGCATGGGAACATTTTACCTTATCAACATCTGGGCGCTCCTCACGGTCAACCTGTCAAAACTAATAATCAGAGTGAAAGCAGTATGGTCACATTGCATATGTATAGTATAGCTTTCACACATCAAAGACAGGTAAAGAGTGAGACAAAACGAAATAAACTTCTAGGGATCCAATATGAACATAAAACTACCTTGATGCTAACAAACCAATCATTCAGCAACTTTGCCACTTCCTCATTCTTGTTAGAGACGATAGGCAATATAAACGACGAAGAACAGTAGATCAAACACAGGGGACACGAGATTTTAACGTGGAAAACCCTTCCAAGGAAGAAGGAAAAAAACTACGGACACCAGCTAGCAAATTTTCACTATATCAGGTGAGGTTACAAACATCGGGGATTTACAAATTTTCTTATCCCAAGACGACAGCTTACAGGAGGTATATATAGAGATGAAAAACCCTAATAGGCGAGCCCCCCGCACCCCCCGAGGCGCGGTAGGGAAACATGATGGGCTAACTTCAGCCTCCGCTTCGCTTCGGACCAAGCCTCCCTGCGACGGGCCTCGCTTCGCTCCGACAGAAGTTAGCCTTTATTTTGTACATAACTGAATTTAGATCACAACTCAACACGACCGACTCGCCGTTGATCCATCGGTCTCCCAGAAGGGGCCTGGCGTCCGTCCCCGGCAAGTGTGTAGGTTGAAGCCCTGAAGAAGGCCTGAACTTCCGGCGCAGTTTGGATTGGCAGCTGGCTCCAGGCTCGGTCGCGATCAACTTTCTACAACCATAACCATTTGGTCTGTAGGGCGAAGCCGGTTAGCTTTAAGTCACTGATTCCCAGTCCCCCAAGCTCAGTTGGCTTGCAGACGGTTGCCCAGGTGACCATGCACTTCCCTCGAATGGATGTGTGTGTGCTGTTAGATACTTTGGACCATCTAGGTGTAGATCAGAGGGTGATATCTTTACTAATTGAATCAAATAGACCTAGAGCTTGCTTCGGGAAAAGGAGAGAGAGAGAGAGAGAGAGATGTAGGAACATCTCACCGTCGGAGGGGTTGGAGGAGCTCCCTGCCATCGCTGGTTCGTCGGTGAAGCTCTGCGCACGGGCAGCGACGGTTGGTGTAGCGGTGGAGACCGGCGGTGGTGGCAAAGGCAGTGGCGCTTCCCGCCGCTGGCAGTGCCTCCCTCTCGATCAGACTAGGGTTAGACGGTGGGGTTGTGGCGGTGGCAGTGAACCTCATCCATCGAGCCGTTTTGCCCCACCTCCTCTTTATAGGCACTGTGCGATGGGGCCCACTAGCCACTAGATGGCTGGACGTCCCTGATCAGGACGCGGTCAAGGGGTCCGTCTCGACCGTTGAATCAAGACGGATGAGATCAATTCTAACATTCTCCCCCTTAATCTCAACACATACTTTAATTTTAAACTTTGACTTTAATCCCTTTCACTTTTATTTGTTCTATCACAGATTAGTGCATAGAGCATGCTTCATCGTCACGGTCAATCACCGATAGACTTAACAGCTACAATACACATCTCTGTTTTGAAACAGATTCTTTAACTTTTGGGCCCTTTATTGTCCAAAAATCATAGGCTATACCATAAACCCACGTCGACTGTGTGTTCTCTAAACACACTGGGTGGTAAGCCTTTTGTACGTGGATCCGTAAGCACTTGCTTGTTACTTTTATGTTCAATACTTTTAGTATGATTCTGGATTTTCTCCTTCACAACGTATAACTTTAACGTCAATGTGTTTGGCAGCACACTTGACCCGTTGTTATAGGAGCGAACTACTTAAATGGTTATTATTGTTGTATACCATTATCAATTCCGGATGTAAGTTCTTTTAACCATTTCGCCTGTCCTTAAGCCTCATAACAAGCTATACTGTGGGTATGCATCTTTGATGACACCACAACTGTTTCTTTGGAGCTTTTCCACAATAAAACTCCAACTGCGAGTGTTAGCTACTATGTGGATTTCACTAAACATCTCGCCAAAATTTAACATTTGTACCCACAACTATTTGAGAGTACTTATTCTTTCTTACTCACCATGAGGCCTATAAATTTTTGCACAATTACAAAACATTCTCAACTCTATTCCAGTGATCTATATCTGGACTGGACTTCTGCCAAAACATCCCGGATACATGAACTATGTCAGGGTAAGTTCTTACTTATAAGCACTCATTAAGCTTCCAACAGCTGAAGCATATAGGACGTCTTTTCAATCTCACATTGGTTCTTGGAACACTGAAAGTTCCCAAAACTATTACCCTTGACTATAGGAACAGACGCAGATTTATTCACATATATACTTTATTTCTTTAGAATCTTCTCTAAGTATACACTTGAGATAGTTCTAATACCCCTTTTCCTTTTGTCTCGGTAAGTTCCAATTTCTGGAACGAATGACGCTTTACCAAGATCATTCTCATTGAAACTTGAGGACAAGAGCTGCTTCTTCTCCAACAATAGATTAACACCACTACTAGCGAGCAAGGTGCTATCCACGTGCAGGATTAGGGAAATTGATTTCCCATGTTTAAACTTTGCATAAATACAATTATCCTCTACATTCTCTTTAAACCCAAACTTTCTTATTGTACTGTCAAACTTCAAGTACCAATGTATTGAAGCTTGCTTTAATCCATAAATAAATTTCTTTAGGAAACATCCCTTACGTTCTTTTCCTTCTACGACAAAACCTTTTGAGTTATGCCATGTAAACTTTTCCATACAAATCCCCGTTGAGGAATGTGTCTTTACATCCTTCTGATGTCACTGTAAATCGTAATGTGACACTAACACCATTATGATTCTAAAAGAATCCTTGCATGCTCATTATAATCTATTTCTTCTCTTTGTGTAAATCATTTCGCCACAAGTGGCACTTTATAGCTTTCCATATTCCCTTTGGAGTCACATTTGTCTTGCAAACCCATTACAGCCTACTGTTTTGGCTCCATTGGGAATTTCTTCTAAGTCCCAAACATCGTTGGTATTTATCGATTTCATTTCATCTTGCTTTGCTTCTTGCCATTTAGACGAGTGAACGCCTCTCATGGCTTTTTCAAATGAGGTGGAATTACCCTCTATTTGAATTTCTTTCTTAACATTGACTCCTTAGTCACCAGAAATATCTGATTTTCTTATTCTTTGAGACCTTCTAGGGTCTCGTGGCACTTCTTTCATATGGGGCTATTGTTACTCTTTATGGCCAAAAGGCAATTGTTCTATAGCCTTCTATATCACAAGATCCTTATTTACTTATTCATCTTCTTTAAGAGCTAACATCAGGTGTTGTATATGTCATACAACATCAACATGTATTAAGCAATTTGTTGCTCTAAAACACTATAGTGGATATGTAATCCCACTTCTATTCAAGCCTTAGGTATGTACATACCATTTTCCCCCAGATTACTCTATCTTCTGTAAAGATGGTGTATCTTCAAATTTCTTATTTTGGGTTTAATCTGCTAAAAACTCATATGACACGTTTAGCACTGCCTTGATAACTCTAAACTCATCCAGTATGAATTCTAGCTGACTATGCTATCTTCCTATCGGAACTGTAAAAGGTCTAGGAATTTAGCTATTTCTTTACTTTAGGGGTATCGTTATTATGACCGTCTTACTCCCTCAACGATCACATTCATCTTTTATAGATCACTTTTACCTTCAATGCATAGTATGCATTGCATTATCTAAAGTATGAGAAATTATCTTTCTTATTTGTCTTTCTTAATTAATCTTACATTTCTCCCCCTCGAAATGTGGTATGAACTTTTCTACCACAATTTCGAAACATTCATAACTCTTGTGAATGCGGAAACTTTGATTACTTACTTCATCCACATGATTACATCATGCAAACAAAATTCGTATGGGAGTACATTTTTCTCATTTCACTTAAAAACTCAACATAGTCTATTATTATCAATACTTCTGCAAGTCACGCTTGCATATTATTCTTATCTTTTGGTTCACATGCAACTTTCTTTTGTTCTTAAACTCATTGAGTACTTAATGACTGTCGACGAAATATGGCCGGTAGTCCATCTAGGGGTATGCCCATGATGGTAGATTGTCGGTAGACGGTGCGCGTAATCAGGAACCAGATGGTTACAGAGGCACAAGACACAAGATTTATACAGGTTCGGCCACCGTGTTGGCGTAATACCTACGTCATGTGTCTCATTATTCTGTATTGATTGAGGTATGTTGGAGATATCGACTAGGGGACCCCTGCCTCTCCTTATATAGTCTGGAGGAGGAGGGTTACAAGTAAAGTATCATATTTGGTACTATTACAATATCTAGTACAACTTGTAATCTTGCTGTGCCTGCCTCGATCTTATGGGCCGGGCCACCTCGGATGGTGCGGCCCATGTACCATCTTGTGGTACCCAGGGGTATATCCCCCACAGCTAGTCCCCGAGCGCCATGTATTCTGATGCGACACGCCATTCTAACCTTCTCCGAACAGTGAGGCTTGAGTTCTTGACATCTCCGACCACCGTTGTCGCCTGGGAGAAGTAGGTTGTCCAAGAATGTATGGTGCTCTTAAGAAGAAAGAAAAAGATTTACATCACGGGAAGTGTGCCCACTTGGGTTTCGTGAAGAAAGCGTAAGGGTGTCTTGAAGCGTAGCGTCTTTGATCGTCGAGGCGTAGTGGTGAAAAACAAGCACATTCACCGCAAGGTGAAGTGTGCCCACTTAGTCCCCGAGCCACGGTAGTAGGTGACGTGAGGCACGTGGTGCGTGGTCTAAAA